TTCCTTTTCAACTTTTGAGTACAACTTAAATAAACCACAAACACAGTGGAGCAACAAAGAATCCCACGTGAATGCCGGGACCTTAAGCAATCGTATGTTATTACACATGGCTGTACAGGTGTATGGTCTACCCTTTGCACTGCAAGTGACTTATCAAAAGATCAGCTGAGGTACTGCTTGGGTCAATTTTGAGGTACCAACATTTAGTCTATTAATAGTATTGACAAAGAACAACTGATCAACAGATGATGAAAAAGAATGGCTTCAAATTTAACAAACACAAAAAGGAAAAAAAAACAAAAAACAAAACAAAAACAAAGATATAAAGACAAGTTTTCTTCATGTCTTTGGTTAAAAATTATTGTCAAAATTATAGCACTCTTAATTAAAACTGTCAGGACATGTTGGCATTATTTCATTCAGTGAGCAAGTGGCACCAGAATTAGCGTGCCATGTGGTTGGAGGACAACAAGCATGCATTTCACATGATCAGGCCTGAACGGTGCCGTCGATTCAGATCACAAAATTCAAACACAAAGCAACGTTTTTTTTGCATGTAACCTTCTGAATGCAATGCACAGGGAGACAGATGAGCAACAAAACAGGTGGATTGTTATGGTTTGCTATGCAGCTCGATAAACTAAAGCTGCATTCGACCGACTGGAATTGAAATGTGAAAACGATTGTACATTTGAGCAAATTCTTTTTATTATCTTGTTTCAATGCTTGCAAAAACCATAAATGAATGTGAAAATAAAAGTTGAGTTTACAACACAGAAATGCCACTGGCTTTGGTTTCTCCACACTTATGCTGCCTGAAACATCATGTTTATTTTTTTTCTCAACCTTTTTGTATTGAAGTTTAAAAAAAAAAAAGAAAAAGAAAAAGAAAAAAAAAAGAAGAGAAGAACACCTTTATAGAGGCTCTGCCCCGTTTGACTACACAGACTGTATACAGTAACAACATAGTGAACCTGCATGAAATATGCACATAGAAATATCATAACACTTAAGTGACAGCAGATACGGGAGTGGGAGGCAGAGAGATATGTGGCTAGTTTCATTGTTTAAAAAAGAGAAAAATCAAAACAGCTATTCATCTAAAAGAAACAGTTGTGCTTCTCCCATGCCAGCAAGATCAAATTTTCCTGGTGTCTTAGGCTGACCTGTCGGTGACGTGGTAAAGGATGTGGAACCCTGTGTTGGAGACCGGAACATGAGGAGTGACCGGACGACACAGAATCCAATTAGGTTTCGGCGATAATTAATCACAATGCACATGCAGGATTGCATTATATAAATAAGATTCAAAAGAAAATTGTGCCGTTTGGGCTCTGAGCTTGAGCAACATCTTGAGTTAATGCTGGGGTGAAGGTTTGAGGCAGAATGGAAACTCTGTAATGTCAAAAATATCTTTTATGAGATTAACTGTATTAAATCCAATAATTCTGATTCATAATGAAATATCTGATGCATAATAATACATCTGGAGACTGAGAGTCAGTCATATTTCCTCATCAGTGTGACAACCGTGTATTTCATGTGTCAACATTTATTTCGGTGTCCTCCCCAGTTCCAGTCTTGTGACATTTTCCACTAGCGGGTTGTTTTTTTTTCAGCATTCAGGCCTGTCTTTCCTTCGTCACACAAACCCTGGCAATGCTTTCCAGCTGGTTTTTAAGGTTAGTCTAAATACACCCCCGAACAGCACTGTTCAGAGTTCAAATGAAACAAACCAGACAACATGTGCAACTGCACATAGAAACTCCACTAAGAAACCAACAAAAATCATTATTATATATATTTATATATTAGAAAGCTATACACAAGCATGTTAATTTCACAGATTTTTTTTTTTTTAAAGATTCTTAATATTACCATTATTATATATAATTAGAAATACACGTTTAAAAACAAACCTCTACAAAGATAAAACAGTTCAGCAAAGCATTGGATCTCAGTCTGTTTTTCATGGCTTAGGGCTTCCAAGCCCTTTCTTTTCCCCTCTGGGTGAACTATCCATCTCTTATTAGCAAAGCTATCAAAAAACACATTCTGGCTTATATAAACTACAAAAAGCCACAAAAATGCTTTGCATTGTATTCCTTTCATATGAAAATATAAGCAAGTGTATCGTACAATTGTTTTTTCTTTTTCTTTTTTGTTTATCAATACTGAATAGTTAATACTAGATCCAGAGTTTTCTTGATTACACCAACGTAGCTCTCAGATCAAAGGGTGGTCCTGGCTCCGTTCTTTAAGGGGAGCGCTAAAATCGTCAAAGGTTCCACACGTTTCGCATTGGGTTTGCCTGTTTACCTGTACAATCCTTCAAATGTTGCATAATAGCTTTTCATTTAGTGAGTAAATAAATCTTGTAATGTCTGGCAACTTTTGACCCCTGCCCTTCCCCCCTTGACCCGCTATTTACATAAATACGTTGAACCTGCAACATGACATCATCTAATGTTAACACACATTTTTGCAAGGGAGAACTGCAGAGAAGGTATATAGCGATGAAACCGATACTGTACACATGTATTGTTTGTCCAACTCAAGTGCTAAGGTGTTTTCCACTGGACACACTCACTCTCATGTTAATGTTTTTTTTGTTTTTTTTCTTCGTTTTTTTTGTTTTTTGTCTCTAGTCACTGATATATCGCTGAGGCAAACTGTAAGTACGTTTTATGAAACAGAGTACCTGACTATTTTTTTTTTTTATTTGTTGATATGCATATATGTACACATACACACGTGTAAAGATATATGCATACGTGATTCTTTTTATCCACACACAATACAGTTTATGCATAGTTCCCCAACAAAAATACCCCCAGATCCCATCCCAACCAACACCCACCCTCCCAAACCCCCCATTACAACACCCCACTGGTTTATATAATGTCAATATGTATAGCACACACACACTCAGCAAAAAGAAAAAAAGGAAAATTTAAAAAAAAAGGAAAAGAAATTACAAATAGGTTTTTCGAAAAGGGTTGTTCCTTTTCTTTCCTTCAACGTTAAAGTGATAAAAGGAAAGAGGCCATCATGGGGTTGGGTGGTGAGTGACTCGTGATATCGAGTGAGAGGAGGAAGAAGAGGGAGCTGACTTGGGGGGGGGCATCGTAATGCTGCATTGCCGGGGGATCAGGGCAACTCGGGGCACTGCCGGGGTACAGGACAGAGCTATCATGTCGCCCATCCTTCTGACAGGCGCACCCGTTTGATGGAGGGGCTCTCGCGCTCGTCCAGGGCGGGCCGGGCCAGTCCCAGAGGTGAGTGGAACTCATTCCTGTGCTCATCGCGGTCACTGCCCTCGTGGGAGCTGCTACAACTGCTCAGGCTATCAACAGGGGAGCGTCCCGAGTCCTGGCGGGACGAGGGGTTCTGGGGAGGTGGTACCCCACCACCGTAGCCCCCCGGTGTGCTGCTGGTGCGATCTCTAGGAGGAGAAACAGGTTCGGACTTGATGTGCAGGCTTTGAGCAGAGGGCAGGGAGAGATTTGAACCCTGACATAAGTGAGAGCTAGAGCAATTTCTGTTGGAAGGAGAGGAAACGCAAGAGGTTACAGAGTTACAGAGCAAGAAACAAAGTGACTTGCATGCAAGTACGCGTACACGCACACTCGTGAGGTGTCATTTGTGTTTGGATCTTGCAAGTGAAGATTGAAAACAGTGAAGGAGTCTTAAGATATCTGAGTGTGGCATCTCAAAAACAAATAATAACTTATGTGTTACATCATGCGTTTGCCAACAACACCTCTAACGAAGTTCAGTGCACTCACCCTAGCTGGCCGAGGGCTGAATGCTGCATGTTTTGAAGGTGTTGCTGTTGCCACCCGCTCATCGAGCCGAGGTGTAGGGAGCTGCCGCTGTTGAAGCCGGACAGGGAGGACAGGTCTGCGCTATTCAGGGAATACTCTGTGTACAAACATACAGGGAGAAGAGGAGGAGGATGGAGGTTATAGATTGTTCAAAGAGTCTCAAAGAGAATGCGATGCCAGTAAATGTGGTGAATGTGGCAACAGCACCCTCTGGTGGTAGACGGCTGTATAACACAGACAATTACTGAGGATTTCATAAAAGCAACACATGTACCTTCAACTAAATAAATCATTTATTTGTTGCTGATGCACCACATCTTAAACTACTTTTGGTGGTAAGTTGTGTATAATACAGAGCAACTGATGTGATATTACATTATTTAAAATCTATACGAGATAATTACACCAACCGATCCTATGTTAATGGACAAATGAATGTAATGTATAAAGAGGACACACAGTGTGGTACATACCGGTACCATAAGAAGTAGAGATGGCAGATGGGTAACCACCCATGCCTTGTCCTGGTAGAGTGGGAGTTGCTACTGATACCACAGGGGTGGCCAATGACTGAGCAGACTGAGAGTTGTTTATTCTCTGGTTCTGTGACAGAGGAAGAGAAGAAAGAGAGAGAAAGGGAGAGGCTTGAGAACATGAAACCAACTCCCAGACAAAACAAACAGAAAAAAAACTGCAATAAACCAAGAAAGTATTTTCTTTATTTTCTTTCATTTCTTTCTTTCACTCAACAGATGCTGAGAGAATGAATGTGATGCCAACTTCTGGGGAAATTAATCACTTGACATGCGGCACGGCTGAACCCTGCCAACCCTATCATTTACCACCCTTTTTCCGAGGGCCTACTGTCGCTATAGTAACACCATCGGTTTCCACGGCAACACAGGGTAGCAAAGGCAAGGGAAAGGCACTTTAGTGAGGCAGAGGGGAGGGTTTGTCAGAAAATAATGGAGGTTTGATGTACAATGAAAGTGTACTCTTTTGATGCCCTTCATTTCTACGCTCTGAGTAATAAATCTGCGAGCTGTGCATGTGCAATACAAGATGCCACATGCAGGTAAAGAGATATAAGGGAGAAATGGCGGCGTAGACAAGCAAGGGCTGTGGCAGAAAAGAGGCCAGGTTGCTGTTACTCTGACACGCCACTGGATGGCACTATGTGCCCTCAAAAAATGTCATGTGAGGTGACATTGGAGCCTTCAGCAGAGTCAGCAACAATAAAGGTGAAAGTTACTCTGAAGTCAAGACCGCTTTTCTCAAAAACGCTGTATCTAACTGCAATAATCTCTGTAGTGAAAGGAAAAATTGAATGCAAATGAAGAGGTGAGACTCAGGTGACTGTAGCGCTTTCAGTTCTACAAGGCACATTACGCTCTTGAGAACTATTTTAACCAGTTTATGATTAGAGAACCCGAAAGTTTCAGATTCTTAAGATCGATTTAGGGTTGTTTTTATTTCTAGATTTGAGTGGCAATCTGACTTACCAATAGCAGATCGACATCCTCAGACTGATGGCATTGAAAGGGGAGGGTAATAAATTCAAATTAGTGAGTGTGAGTGAGCATATCGAGGTGGTGGCGAGGCGTGGATCTAGGGATTGATCAGCTGTAGGACTGAGCCAGCGGAAGGAAAACTAATGTGAAAAGAGGATGCTACCAGCTAGTGCAACTAATCTAACTTAACACACTTTATCATGAAGAGATCAGAAAGAAATACAAGGACCTATAGTAGGAGAGTGCCAACACAGACACAGCAGAAGAGTAAATCTCAGTATATCAGCCTTGGGTCAAAGGTAAATTTTAAAGAAAGAAGTTGGCGTAACAATCTGCCAAGGCTCATGACAAAACAACAAAAATGCCATGTACCTAAAGACGAGCTTATCGCAAACATAACCTCGTCAACCCAAGTCTGATATGAAGAGATGAAAGCAGCAGAGAGTACACGACGGGAAAATAAACAATAGCAAACAAAACGTGACAGACCCCCAGTAGGCAGGGAGATATGCAGTAGGGAAAGTGACTGAGGAAATGAAGAATGGTGGCACGACAAGAGGGATTGGAAGATTACTCACAATGGAGGGCATATTGTTCTTGGCGCCAGGGGGGATGAGCACACGTAGGTCAGGTTTGCGGTTGTTCATGCCTAAGTTCATGGGTGGAGGAGACTTAGCCTGCATGTTCTTGTTCATGCCACCTGGAGAGACCAGCAGACCAGGCGAGTTGCGATGGTTTCCATATCCATTTCCTGAGAGAGCAAAGAGAAGGGCAGAGAAACATGAAACACACCAGTATTCCTGTTTGAAACAAAGACACAACTACATGTTATTAAACCTGTTTTAAAAGTCTAATGAATCTTGAAATTCCTGCTGTTTATGACAGTGTCGCCTAATTAAGTATTACATGAATCCATTTTCACCTTGTGCTCCTTTTCATTGTTTCTGGCTCATTCTCACTTCCTGTGGCAGGAATTTTATTAGTGCACTTTCAAACGGTGCACATCGACGGAGCAGCTAGTCAGACATGCTGTTTTTGCCTTTATGATCGCCGCTGTTTGTTTGGGAGTTATACAATGACAGCATTTACGCGCCAGGACCTTACCCTCTGCTATCACTGTCAATGAAGGTTACATGTTCCCTCCAACAGCCAATGAATCTTGTAAAAACATCTAATTACGGGTAGCGAGACCACAGAGGGATGGGACGGATCATTTGGCCATCAGAGCTAAACATGGTTCTGCGGTTTGTCCAGACAAAGACCTTGTCACCAGACTTGCATTCCCCTAAGCATGGAGGGCCAAATGCAGCACCCATTTCTCCCTCAAAAACCGGTGGGGCAAAAATCCTAGCAACATCATTAAAAAAAAAAAAAAAAACTGAAAGTGGAGCATTCTTGCAAGCAACATAGTCTTTGTTTCTAACCCAATCCCGCAGGCTGTTTTTCCCCTTACTTCTCCTTCCTTCTTCCAAGGGGTAGAACACAGGGCACTGTGTGGACGTTCCCACTTGAAAGACGGGCAGGAATTATACGTTAGACATAAATGAATTTCCTAATCATATACTCCAGGGGAAAATGAGTCGCAGATGTCTTCCTGGGCAATTTCCCTTGCTGATCTTTGTTTAATTTGAGAGCGAGGTTTTTGTTGTTTGGAAATGAAAAGTCTCAAAAGCTCAATTTGAACAATCTGAAGAGTAAACGACCGCTAGCGGTGAGAAAAAATGAGGCTGTCTGACAGAAAACGAGAAAAACAGCGTGTTACTTCTGGGTGTGTGTGTGTGTGTGTGTGCGCCTGCCTCTGCTGGCATGTGTGATGTGTAAGCATGTATAAGCTGATGTTTACATGGATTTTGTGTGTCATTGTATGTTTTGCTGTGTACAGTTATGCGTGTGCACGGATTCATACACGGAGCATTTTTAGTGTATATAATCACAGTCTGACTTTGAGACTCTGTGACACATGCTGTGCGACTGCTTATGCACGAGCCATGCATATGGATGCACATGTGTGTTTTGTATTGGACCCTCACTTCCAATGTCAATCTCACATTAGTAAAGAGGCAGCTGCCTCTTCAGTTTTCCCGCTCTCTCATTCTCATGGCTGGCCCTTTGTGAGATTGAGTGGGTGCATGTGGAGATAGATGAATGAGACCTCACACACACATGAAACGCACACACACACCGCACATACACATACTTTAGTAAATAACCCAGCAGGAAGTACATCAGTGTTTCTGTACAGATGAATAAAAAAAAGACACTGAGCTATAGAGAGACGTTAATACACACTTTGGTCAAGATGACACAGACTCCATCTTGGTGACAGTTAATCAGACATCTGTGTATTGCCACCCTGTGGAGATGGCCGTGGTCCAGTCAATTATATGCTGGATGACTATAATCACGAGTGGCATAGGCCAGTCCTTAAGCACTTCAAAAGTAAAATCACAAGCTAATTAAGCTAATAAAGCAAGAAATGTGACTGAAATCTCTCCTTTCTATAGCGTGATCACCCTGATTTCAGGACGCTTGCATTCAGCAGAGACTCACTGGCTATCAGCCGAAGACGTGATACTCAGAGTTCATTTCCACTCTCCTCCTCTAATATTGCTTTGCACAGTCGAGCTGCAGCGCAGGCTGGTGTTTAGAGGAAGTACCAAAATTAAACACAGGCCCAGCAAGGAGTCTTTTTTGCTGCTGTGCAAAACTCACACGTAGAGAAGTGCATCTGATCTAAGAATCAGAGAAACAACTTTTTTTTTTTTCTTCTTCTTTTTTCTATTTCTGAGGTGTGAGGGGACAGCGAGGGTCAAAGCTGAAGGATTGCAATGTGAGTGTACAAGTTTCACGGTTAGCCAGGGCACATCGAGATGCATGTGTCTGACAAGGCCCCCTCGGGTGTTCAGTCTTTTTCCCTTTCACACACACCGCACACACACACACAAAGGAGAGGTGTGGTTAAACTCTTGTACATTTTACTGTTACTGAACAAATTTCTGATGTCCTGTTGTGGTCTAACAGGCGCACTCCGTTCTATTCCCCATACACACGCACTCTTCCGTTGCGGTTTGGCCAAACGTGCATTCAACCCTGAATTCTCCAACTGAACTGAGGTGTCACACTCGCGCTTAGGCTACAACTTGTACAGTTGGTGCGAGCTGCTGCCAAGATTGAGACATTGTGTGATCAGCTGAACCTGACTTCTTGTCAGTTTCTATATGTGTGGTTTTCAGCTTTCATTTCTATGAGATTTTGACCAGACATGTCCTAAAGATGTACCTTGTATGTAACTCATTTAAGGGTGTAATTGGTGTGTGATCAAGGTGAGAGGTGACGGGAGATTCTCGTTAATTCTTTGCAGTGCTTTGGTGAGAAGAGTGCTGACCGGAGCACAGATGACAGCTACTTAATTGCACAAATGGAGGTGGAGAGGTGTTCACAGGCTGGGGCCTTCAGCCAGAGCTCCCTTAATCAGCCTTCTCTCTCTCTCTTTTTCACTCATATTCTGTCTCTTTTCTCACCTTGTGCTCTCTGCTAGCCAGCTAAGGAATTGACAGATTGAACACATACATATAAATGAGCAAACATACACACTTCCCACATTGTTTCCATAGAAAAGACATGATGACTCAGGCTACTTTCAGTAACATGCCCTATTTACACTGGACTAGAATTACCTGGGGAGCTTTAGTGATTTTGAATTTACCCCCACATCTGGGTTTCTGGTGGCATATTTGCACAGCGTATACAAAATGTTGTGTTTCAATTACATTTCCAGGCCAAATAACGGGGACTATCTAAAGATATGATTGAACCTTTGCATATTTTTGTGCTAATGCTGCCATTAAAAAGAACTTCCAAAGTTCTTATTTTCTCCTCACCAACAGTGTAACAAAAGAGGGGCTGTGTTTCTGGGCATGTTTAAGACACGCATCCACACACACACACAAAATCCCTCCAGTACCACTACTTACTTAAGCCACTCCACTCACAGAAGTCAGCCAGCTACTTGTACAGTCAGCTTATCAAAACTTACAGTGGAGAGGAGAGAAACTTTAAAACATTCTCTGTGGTGCCACAGTGGCTGGGCCACCTCACACTGGTGATGTTAGAGGAACATCATTAAAATGGCTGACCAAGTTCGCAGAACACTTCCATCTGTGTTCCCCCCACTGTTTCTCCTTTGCACACATGCTTCCACCATCAGTGGATATTCATCACTGGGGTTCCCCCCCAACACGCTCTTTCTCTCTCCCCCTAGATGAGATTTAAGAGAGCATTGAATGGAATCTTTCAGCTCCCACATGACTCTCTCTCCACGTTGTGTTTTTCGCTGCTGCTGAGCGACGCACAGCTCTCACAGAGCGCCTCTGTTCCTTCAGCGCGGTGACACAAAGGCTACATTTGAAGCATGCACTGCAAAACGCCGTCAATGGAACACACGCCACAACAAATGGTCCTGTTGTGTATGCGTATGTGTTTGTGTGTGCGATGAGTGACCAGACAGAGAAACCAGGCATTGACCTCTTGTGAAGGAGCCTTAGGGGCCAGACAAGGCTGCCCAGCTGTGCCCCACTGACGCCCCCAAAATCTCCATTTTTACACTCCGCACTGTATGCCGAGGCTGTAAAATTTAACCCTTTAAAAGGCCGGCTATTTGCCATAAACTCGGGTCTGACATGTCCTCGGGGACAAGCCCATAGACAAACAGAAGCTAACACATAAGAGTCTCTACACATGTTTCTCAAATATGGGTTGCTCCGCTCTCCGCAGGATCATTACGGCACAGAGAGCAAATCTAAACATTGAGTTAATCTGGTTGCAAACAGAAATCTAAGCGGTGATAGAAATAAATAGATGGCTCTGAGTAACAGATACAATTTAACTCTCCATTCAAACCTCCAGCACCTCTTCTAACTGCATGTCAGGCAAGCTCCTGCTTCAGTATATAATGCAGTTTTACTTCTGTTTCCCCCCCACTTGTTTTACCATTTTATAGCTGAACACAGGCAGGATGTGTCACAGCCCAGGCACTGAGCAAACATTCCCAGATGAACTCCACGACCACTAACTTCAACACATCATGGACAAAATCTCCACTTGGGTTTGGGTTAGTGTTAGTCATGGATTTTATGGCCCCAAGTGGGTGAGTGGGTGCCATGAATTGTGTGTGTGTGTGGGTGTATGTGTGTGTGTGTGTTAGCAGACATCTGTGTGAGAGAAGAGGAGGCCATTCTTACCAGCACTGGTGCCTGCGCCAGTGGTGAGGTCAGCACCCATGAGGCCACCTGTAAGATGAAATAGAGAGCGGAGAAAAAGACAGAAAACCATTAGAGGATAGACACCCACATAAGATCCACTTTGCCTTCTGTCTCTTGCTCGGTTTAATCACAACGCGTGTGTCAGTAAATCGTGTGTACCGATACCAGAAGTCATACCGCTTCCCACTCAAACTTTAACATGCTGAGCAACTGGACACTGCGAGCGGATACGTTACGCTGCCGTCCAAGAAAAATGACACATTATTATTTTTAAGGCATGTGAGGTGGAAGAGTGGGAGGGTCCAGAACGTGTGCGGTTTGGTGTGGATGCTACAAGCGCCAAAACTCATATTTAGTTTGTGCTGGCGTTTCTAGCATCCAGTTGTAATGACAGGGTGAGGGTGTGGGCAGCAGCCTTCAGACCAGAGGGACAGAAAAAGGACTTTGGACAACAATAACAAACCAACAGACCCAATTTGCTTATGTCACCAGCAACTTAGTGCCTATACATAGGGCCAGACATCCCATATGTAGAACCTCACACTAAATCAGTGAGACTGTGGGTTGGGATTTCATATTGTATTAAATCATCAGCTTACTTTTAACAAAATACTGAGCAGGCAAATATGCAACTATATGTGGAGAGGGAGGACTTTAGATTCTTTCACTGCCTTTAGGTGGAACACTGTGGGTAGCGGTAGTAAAATAAGCCGCACATTTAATGTGTGTTTGTCTGTTAGCATGGCAGAGCGGCACACACGCAGTCGAGAAGATAAGACAGATGGGATAACAGCATGTACATGGGTGCATGAGTGCATGTGAGGCCCTACCTGTGTTACCTGCACTGGGGGGTCTGTGTGTAACTCCAGGAGACATGCTGTTTCTCTGTAGGCCATGGTGTGCCAGTGGCAACAGATTGTGGTTGCCTAGGGACCCACCGGGATGGCTGTAAATGAGATTGTTCTGGTTGCTAACGGGAATGGACACGGGCATGTCGTAGTTCGATGGGGGTACAGCCTGCTGAGAAAGAGATGGGAAAAGAGAGACACGAGACGTGAGTGCGATTAGACTAAAGATTACAACAATTTCACTGGCTCGGACAAACTAAAACAAGAACTTTTGAGGAAAGGGAGAGGGAAAAGACGTGACAATTCAGAAACGCTCCAGGAACACAAAGGAATTTAAAGTGACTATCTGCAGTCAAACACAAAAGAAGAATGACAGAGATAGCCAAGTTCAAAAGGACAAATGGACAACAAACAGCAGACAGCCAATGTGTAGATGAATTGTACAGAGAGCTTCACAGAGCAACGACTACAAAGACAAGACAGTACAGACGGCATAAGGGAGGACAGGACAAAAACAAAAGGGAAGCGCCTCTCAGTATTATATAAACTGCCCTCAAGATGATATGGGCTGGCAAAACTTCTAACTTGATCCAGCATAGGTATGAGGCCGCTAACATCTCACTATAAAGGACTGAGATGTTGGCCCTGACACACTGTGACGTTTACCATTATGAAGGCAAAATGTTGAATCAGGGAAATACTGGGTTCAGGTCATTGCACTTATATTCCTAAATTTATTTCAGTTTTATTACATTACAGAAATTAGAAGGCCATGGTTCACTGGGAAAAAGTCAATGGCGTCCAACTCTTCTAAAAGGGCTAAAGATAATTCAGTCTGTCTTCACCTCACTAAAAAGCCTGCAGTAATTCTTGCAAAAGTAGACCGAAGAACTGAATGCAATTAGGAATAATTTATTTTTCTGTCACGTAGAGCTGATGCAAAGTGTTTTAAGTGGTAGACTCAGATCAGTCAGCAGTCTCATCAGGAACATGAGTAGAGGTAACCTGGCAGCCCCAGGCATCTAGTTTGTCATGTTTATTGTGTCACTTGGCAGAAGGGCTTAACCTTGGGAGTGCCCTGGAAGTGGTTGATCCTGCATGTTAGTTTTAGGAAGTAGAAAATAGGGCCCTAAATTACTGCCATGTGTCTCAGGGCCATGGCGGGGAGTGCATCAGGGGGATCATCAGCTCCAGCTAACGTGGAAGTGGGCTATGTGCCTTAGCACTACATCAGCTTCTCTGATTTTCTCTCTTCTGCTAACGCTCATCTTGCAGGCCAAATATTATTTCAATGCACAAAGAGGGTTGCTTTAACCATATTTCATTGCCTCTCTTTATTTCGCTTTAGCTGCAACTTTACACAAGAGCGGGCCAGCCAAAACCTATGGATGCTTTCTTTTATACCCAGTCAGGGGCTGTCTCTGGTTCGGTTTTATTTATCCCCACCGACCCTGTAATTTCTTCCATCTCGGATTCCTTGTTGGACTTTTTCAACCCTAATGATTCGCAATGTTTTCTAAAAGTGTGGAAGCTGTCTCTGTGAGCACATTCGCGTGTACACACACACACACACACACACACACACACACACACACACACACACCCTATTGCTGGGGTGTAAGGGCCCCGTCTGTGAGCTGTCCTTTAACTGGTGCCATCCTTCCTGTTTTCATTCATCTTCCTCCTCTGCCTCTCCCCACAGTCCCCTCAACAGTCCCCAGCAATCCAGAGGCCCAGTGCTTGGCAGCCACCCTGACCACACACTGAACTGCCACTTGTTTTGTGCAAAAGGCCCCCCTCCCCTCCTCTCCTCTCCCCTCCCCGGCACCCAGCTCCACCCCCATCCCCACCCAGCCCCGATCCCAAAGCCACCCCACCCCGACACGCCAGCCCAAGCTCACCAACCCCTGCCTTGTTTCTAACCACATCTCCTCCTGCTCCACATGGCTCAGACACTGCAGTTCTTCTCTGAATTATCTACTGTGGAATTATCTCTTTCTCTGTGAGTCTAGAGGACTAACCATTCCAGTATGGTGCTTTTTGAATGAGGGGGCAGGCTCAGTTTACATAGAAAGAAGCCTCTATTTTGTGGTTTCTGGCAGCTGGCTGTAGATTTGATTCTTTTGTAAAATTAACAATACATAATGTATATTAAGCAGCTGACATGTCTAGACATACACATCCACTAACAAAGGCTACTGAAAACTTTGCCTTCGATTAGTGCAGCAAGCAGAAGAGACCATTGCGTTTAGTGAGGTATGGAGACATGCTGAAGACTTTGTGAATATCTGCTGCTGTTTCATTGCCACAGCTTCTGTCCCCGTTGTTGCGGGTGACTGAGCGCTGTGTTTTTGGTGCAGGAAAAGGAAAAGCGCATGCAGACCACACCTCCCCCGAGAGCCAGGCAAGGCATTATGGGTAGCATGGGTTCAAGGTGGGAACCGAGAAAGGTTGAAATTTGTCATAAGAGAAAGTCTGCAATTAATATAGCAAAAGTGCCTGCTAGTTATGGTTACACTTATGTCAAATTAGAGGGTCCATTTTCAACTGTAAACAAGCAAAATCAAACGACTGTAATTTCTCCACTGTAAGTACACAGTATAATGTCACTCTGGTCTGACTCTCACTCTCACTTTGTGTAATTAGTCTAGTGCCAAACAATGGTGGTTAGCCGGGTTAGCTCAACAGTTACTTGCCAGTCAGCACTTTGTTAGCCTGCTGATGATGCGGCACAGTACGAACCCAGTACTTACAGGTATCTTATGGGTTTTTATCATGTGATCAAACTCCTCGTTAATCTGTTTGTATTTCTCCTCAGTGCGTGGGGTGAGGATGAGAGCAGACTCGAGCTCCGGGCTCTCGCCACCTTTGTTCTCCTTCTTGCTCAATGCCTGCCGGGTCCCGCAACCACAGAGGAGGACGGAGGGAGACGCACACACACACACATGAAGGGGACGGAGAGACGGGTGGTGCGAACAGACGACGACAACAGGGAGACAAGGATGAAGCGACAGAAAGCAAAAAGGGACAAAGGGGGGAAAGAGAGGAAAGAAAGGTGAGAGGAAGGCTCTGGGTTCAACGAGAAGTACTTACACACAGTCTCTGTCTGCTGATCATCAGATCAATGTCCTCGTTTATTTTCCTGTACTTGTCCTCGGACTCGGGGCTGTGGCCAACCGAGTCATCTGCGTCGGGATCTGGGCTGTCACAGCCGTTTAGGCCCTTCTTTCTCAATGTCTGCAAACAGAGTAGTTGCACAATATAGTTGAAGGGCTTTCAGGTAGGGAACAGAAACCCAGGTGAACAGCTTGCGAGGGACAAATGATAATGAAGTGTGAGGAGCTACCTCTTAGAATGAGTCTGGACAAATTACAAGTCCAATTAGAGGTTGTTTGGAAAACCATTTTAAGACCTCTTACTGTAAGAACGGTATCTTGATTTGTTCCAAATACATTCATTTTCAAAGTACCTTTTTTTTTCTAAAAGAAAATTCGTAGAAATTGTTCTAAAAAAGGTCTTTAACCTTTTTCAATGACTCATGTTGGCTGGCTCCATTCTAACCTCATGGGCCGATGCGAAGATACGACGGTGGTTTTGTGTACGAGTAAACATGCAGCTAAACATTCAAAATGGCACAAATGATTCAATCACATCCAATAACAAGACATAACAAATGATCACAATCTCCACGAAATGACAAATAATGGGACCTTTAAAACCTCATAATTGCACAGCAAAGGGAACAGTCGTAAAAGTAAAACACATTTTATAACCATAATCATCAGCGGGCCGTGAAATAGAATTAAAATACAGCAGAAAGCGTATGAGTTCATGACTGTGGTACGTGTGCTTTTTTAAAATGTGGTAGTTTCTGTTTTGGCCACCTGATGGCCACCTGCCCCCATTAGAGTGGCCAGAAAAAAAGCAGACAGGCAGAAAAACCACACTCTCCACTCGCTCACCACTCCCTCTAAACTGGAGGAGAGACACAGACAAAGAGAGCAATAGAAGAGGAGAGAGAGAGAGAGAGAGCTGCCTCTGTCCTTTTTTAGATATTGTTGACAACCTTAACAACAGGGATAAGTTTCAGAGCACATTACTGTGTGTGATAGCACGAGGGTATGTTTGCTTGAGCAAGTAGGCATGTAACGATAGGTGCTGTGTTCATTTGCCTCGTAAAGAGAGAGACAAAGACGGAGCGGGAGAGAAGAAAAGTACAGTAGCTGACAGTTAGAGATCTCATCAAAGACACCCCCTCTTCCTCCTCTCCGCCTCCCCACCACCACCACCACCACACGCCTCTCCCCCCCTTCCCTCCCTCCCTCTCTCCTCCTGGCTTTAATAAAGGGAGATTAGTCTACAGGAGGAATATCACGGGCCTGCTCCTGTCTGTGCAGTCGTCGCTTCACACTGCGCTCTCCTACTTTCATCTGAAGCTCCATATCAGACAGACGTAATTAAATTTACTTTAGCACACCCTGTATTTGATGCTGATCAAGTGTGTGTGTGTGTGTGTGTGACTGCATGTGTGTGTGTGTGTGTGTCTGTGTGTGGGAGGGGAAAGAGGGGAATGAGTCTGTGTTTGTGTGTGCATGTGTGGGTGTGTGAGAGTGGGTGTTAGAGTCAAGAAAAAAGAAAGAGACACTGAGCAGGAGAAAGGAGGAAGATAGATGCTAAGATAAGTTAATCTCAGTGAACTTCTTCCTCTCATTTGTTTGTCTCCGTCAGCGCTCACTCACAGAAGAGATACGAGTGCTAGCTACTCCATCACAACCAGCAGCAGAAGTGACAGGGAGCGATCTGCCTGCTTAGAAAACAAATAAAAATCCAGTCATCTCTCATGTCAGCACAACAAAGGCCTGTTTTGAGTGTGGTTTTAGTGAACTTAGAGGGCTTCTTTTGTGTGTGTGATAACTGTTTGATTCCTGAGGCGTCTCGTGGCGAGGCAGCTACTGTAAGTGTGTCAACATTTGCTGGCTCTCCTTTTCTCTCTCTGAATCCTCACTTGGCCCCCAGAGTGGAAATCTGGAATTCTGAATTTGAAAGCATCTCTCATATCTTTGACAGTCTTCAGGAAATCACACCAAACAAATCAACCAAGGCGATGCAGGAGATCTGACTTCCAACAGACCTACAGTGAATCAGGCACTCTTGCTCTATCTGAGGAGGATGAGTCAAAAGAACAAAGGGGTTGCAGAGGTTTAGCATGCTGTCTTTTTTGGCAAAGGCGTGAGATGTAAAACTTTTTGCTGTTTCTTTTGCGTAGTTTCATTCTGGCCTTGGCGATGCATCATATCGAACTGACAAGAGCTGAACCACTGGCCTTTTTCTGTTCACATGAGAATGCATGCAAGGGAAAAAAAAAAATAAAAAAAAACTTTCTCTTCCTACTTGCACAGATTTCCACCTACTGCCACCAGCACAGAGTGCATGAGAGATTCACTTCCATTCTAGGAAGAATAGCAGTGGAGCGCTGCTGGGAAAAGAGAACGAGGGCTGGGCTAAAGGTGACACCCATATGGGGTAACTGAGCTGGTGGTCTGGCAGGGGGTTGGCCAGGAGCCGCACTGGGCGTTGAAGGGGCGCAGGCGGCCAGGGCGAGTGTTATATGACTATGAAGCATGTGGCCCAGGCTTAGCTTTCCATCAGGGCTCAACATATTTAGGGTGTGGTACGAGGATGCTATGTCACTCATCCCAGTTATGCCCACCTGTTTAAAGACATCACACCTGTTGCCAAAGGCTGACACACAACCCAACGACCAATCAGAACTGCCGGAGTGCTCATGTAGCCTTAGAAGGGCCTCTCGCGCTTGTGCTTTCCACCTCACCACACTACTGCCCTACTTTCATCATCCTATGTATTTTGCCCTTCTCTCATAGCCTATTGCTTTATCTGCTCTTTGAATTTGTCATGCATTTCATGGCTCTGCTCCACACAGCCACAGACTGCTGTTCCAAACAAGATTTCTGGTATACAGTGACATTATCATTACACAAGGAACATCCGAGACTTACACTTCAAAATAACCGAGAGAATAATGATCATTGGAAAGAGAGCTGCTATCCTAACATTGAGAGAAGCAGGAGGATGGGTGTGAAGACCTGGCATGAAAATATAGTCTTTGGGGAATATGGTAATAGGATGAGGATTAAACAAAAACACTTTGGTATAATTCACTTGTGCCAAGAATTTCATGCGCAAAATATTCACTCAGATACTCGTCATTACATTGAAATTATTCAATTTTCCAAGTAACTCCAGTTTTTGGTGTTCATAAAGAAATGCTGATGTTTTCTGCTGGCATAAAAGAGCATTCGTTCTGTTCACAGCATTTTGTTGGCTCTGTTTGCAAAAGTGCCATTTTTTTTTCTTTTACTTTTTATATTATCTTTCCAGTAATTGCTATACTGCAGCATAATACAAGAAAATGACCAAATAGATACAATGAAGTGGTTTTATATCAGAGAAAGACTGAGAGAAAAGGTAGAAAACAAACCTACAATGCTACAAACCGCTACAATGTGAACAGTCACCCAGTATGCTACAGAGAGCGAGTACAGTAAATGTGAGAGAGAAGAAGGAGAAAAAGTATGACGAAGAGGAAAGACAGCAAAAAAAAAAAAAAAAAAGCTGTGTCTTCTTGCTTGGCTCTGTGTCTCTCTCTGTGGCCCCTTTGGAGGCTTGCTCCTAATTAAACTCCTTCTTCATGATGCTCCCTCATGACTCACAGGGCCTGTGTGAAGCAGGCACAGCATAGACAAGGTGTCCTACATACTTGAGACACCCGTCTCATTGGTACCCTTCAGCTTTGCACCCTCAGCTAAGCTGTCCTAGACTGGGCTGGTCTAAGAGGAGCTACAGGACTACAGTGAGAAAACCTCAGTAAAATAAAATGCGCTCGCCTGAGATAATCAGTGACAGTGAACATGAAAAACAAGAAAACTGATTCACACTGTCATATGCTTGGAGTTCTCTTGTGTTTTAATTGCAGGAAGAAAGAAAAAAAAATATTTGTCTCATAGTTTGGATGTGGATGATAACTTCATGTCGCTCTTGAGAAAAACAGTGGAGGGTATTTGGGTGTGAATTCTGGGTGGCCCCAGGGGGTCTGCGAGGGACAGCTGACGCCTGCCCAGAGCTCCTGCCATACCAGGATCCGTCTGCTCGGCATTCTGCCACCCTGCTCACCCTCTCTATGCCTCTATCCGTCTTTCTGCCCCCATCTTTCTGTCTCAGTCTGCTGCTCAGTCTGTCTCTGTCTCACTACCTCTGTCTTTCCCCACATTTTCGGCAGAAGCACCACGTCTCAACAGAAGCTGAGTCAAAACACAGTTGGCTTGATGGGTACATCTTTATTTCTGATAGAATCTGGCTAGTTGATGGGTTGTGTTTGGAAAGAGCTTCATTGCTGACCATTCCCCTCCGCAGTTATCTTGGCAGTGGCTGAAGGGTACGACACATTCAATATTGTGTTTATGGCTATTGGCGACAACCAGGCCACTGAATGTTTCTCAATGTCTTCAACCCAGTGACTGACAGCATCAGTGCAAAAACCCTCCACAAAACAGTCAGTTAATAATAGGGCTTTTATATCTCCGTCAACACTGCGTGATCTTCAGTATACACATGCTATTGTAGGCAAAACCAAGACACAAGATAATATAGTAGCAGGAGTTTTCCCTCCATAAATGGACCAGTTTATGGTTTTGCAGCATATTCCAGCAGTGGGTGGAAAACAAGTTTCTTGACAGACAAGCACAATATAAAAGCATCAATAACTGTGCCACTTATGGTTAATCATGATTGCTGTGCTGTTAAACTAAAATTAAATGACACTGGAATTAACTCTTTTGTGTGGCAGGGTCTCAACCTCTGTTTGTTGCATTGTTGAAAGTAGTAGTGAAACATACTGATTTGCTCTGACTCTCACACTCTCTCCTTGAAAACATGGCAGTATATGAATTGTACAGACCTAACATCTTATTGTGTGAGACTTTGTGTAGGCTGGGTGTGGCCACATTCACTACAGACCTTTCAGTGCTGGTTTAGGACCTAAAAAACGAATCACAATAAACTTTAAGTGGGCTCCCAATGAGAAAATGTCATCTAAATCTAGGGGCTACAGTAATTATATAGCCTTGATTGATTCAAATAGTGTGCAAAAATCCAAAGGGAACTCTGCAGGGTTAACCTAAAAAACAAACAGAACTGTTTCTTTGAAGAATCTTTAACCA